GCTGGCAAGGTCCAAAGCCCTAGTAGATCACTCTGCCATATGTTTGCCTTTCCACACAAACATTTGCCAGGAAATCTATCACCTTCAATGCAGCATCATCATGTGACATGAAAATAAAAATGTTTATGTGCAGTCTCTCTGTGTTTTGCAGTCAGGAAAGTATCTGTAGGAATGGGGATACTGCTGTTCCCTCTCTTTTAACTACCCCCTTTTTGTTTTTTTCTTTTTTTTTTCTTTTTGGCAATAGCTTTGATCCTTTACAAGTGTCCTTTTGTCAGTAACCACTCTGGTTTGGATTAAGGACAAATGCTCCAATTCCCTCATTTTTTTAATGAAGCGTTCATGCAAGCTCTTTTGTTTGAATCTTGTGTTTCAAACAGTTAAAAACTACAGATTTGAGCCCCTAAATATTTGCTTTGAGATTCATGGCATGCTCATTCCTAGGCATGTCAAAGACTGCTACAGCTCCAGTCTTCCATGGAATGGGCAGTGGCATTTGGAGATGCCGCTGCAGAAATGAGCAAAAGCTCATTTAGTACAATTATTAGTGCATTTGATGGGAATCTAGGTTATGCTGTGATGCTCCTAAGGCCTGGAGCTGTATTTTAACTGTCTACCCATATACTGACGGAATCAGTCAGATGTCCTACAGGAAACTCCAGGAATAAATGACTGAGCAGAATTAATGCTGTCGTAGACACATCTCCATATGGAACAGCCCATGGAGGCAAACTAGACATTCTTACTTCAAAAGGCTGAAGATGCCATCTCTTGACTTTGTGTCACTGTGCATTGGGATATGCCTGGGCAGTGCCAACACCTGAATCTCTACTGGATTTAGTGGAGTCTTCCTGTTCCTGGCTAACAAAACTTCTGGGGATGGGTTTGCTTTTAAAATGTTAATTTATTCCATTTTAAAGGGTTATTAATCCCAGTGGTGGGCTTTTATTTTTGGGCTGGCCTAAATTCTTCATCTAGGAGATGCCAATATGGTAACAAAACTGACTTAAATTTCTCATCTGTGAAGCCTATCACACAGCTCTGCCCTGTATTATGTCACACACACATGCACTCTTGACCCATGGCTCCTGCTATGTAGAGGGTAAGGGTTTTCTGTATTTTGGTGGGTTTTGCACTACAAGTTAAGGAGGCCCAGCTGAGGGCTCCTGCACTATTTAAAAGGATACTGCAGGGCTGTTTTAGTGTAAAAGTAAAAACAGATGACACTATGTGAAAAGAGCTTCTTACTTGCTTGCCAAAACCTCTACAATTTCGAAATGCAGCTATGTATCTTTTAATATTCACTTCTGTGATCATTTGTAACATACAAACACTTTTAAAGTGGCCTCCAAGACTTTCTAAACATTCTTGCTTTCTGTTGTACTCCTAATCCTCTTATGTGTAGGGTGAAAGGAAGATAATGTTGGCTTTCTCTAAAGCTGGCTTACTTTCAGGAATATATGTACTATGACTCTTGCTTTCCTTACAATGCTAATGATGTGCATAACACGTAAAAATAGTAATAAAAATGGGTATTTAAAAGGATTTGATGGGCTACACGTTCCTTCCATCTGCAATCTCAATTATTTCATCAGAGTTGAGCACAATAATGTAAACAAACTCCTGCCTAGTGTTTGATCCTCTGTAAAATAATGGAGTCAATTTGCTGCTTTGTACTGACTATCCTAAGATGGCCACATGTTTCTTTATGAACATCAATTGTAATGCCAAAAAATGTTTGAATTATTTTCAATTTGAATTACTTGACCTGTCAGAATATTTTTGAGGATGACCTGGAAACAAAACACTTGGAACACCTTATATTAATTTTTCTCCTTTGACACTAAAATGGCCACCATAGTACTTAGGTTACCTTAAATGTTAGTGTAGATCAGAATGATCACAGGAAAAAGCAGTAGAAAACTCAGTAAAGACATGGTTTTGAAAATGTTATGGTGGAGTATATGAAAAATTCAAAAACTTTGTTCTGCACATGTCTAACACATAGCCCAGTGGAGCCTATGTCTGTGACAAGTGTTTGTCACAAAATCTAAGTAGAGACAGGTTATAAAAAATGATGGCATCTGGAGAAACAAACAACATTCAGGCCTAATATCACAGCAAGCATTATCACAGCATGAATTCTATTTATGACTAGTAGGAAATAATGTAAAATAGTTTTGACTGATTTATTCTGGCATGACAGGGAAGCTAATCTGTATGAATGCAACTCTGTATTTTAGGGAATACATTATTTTTATTTTAAGTATTCCAGGCTGCATATTCTATCTACCACAGAAAACTAGTGTTAGTGTAGATCCAAGAAAAGTCAAACAATGTTTTAGGAAGGAGGCACTACAGGACATAACTAAACATCAGCAACGGGGTCAATGGCCTCTTTATGGAAGACAGAAGTTATAAGATCCATGGTTTCTTCTGCAAATCAAAACTCAAGCAGCCCAGGAATTCCTAAGATAAATCTAGGATTGGTGTGAGAAGTGTTTTGTCAAATAATGAGGCAGAACTGAAGTCTGAAAACTGACTGAGAAAGAATTTTGAACAAGTAGTTACATATAGAGGCTGGAGTTTGGGGTAGGCTGTGGGATGAGAGAGCTTTAGGCCAAGATAATCTGAGTGTTTCTTTAAAAAGAAAATCTCTGACTCCTGCTATTCTTTTAAATAATGACATGTATGAACTGAACTAGCTCACAAGTATTCAGTATTAACTGTGTCAGTAGGAGCAAGAATGTGTATGAAAATGAACTGATAGAAACTTCAACCAAGAGAACTATAAAAATATTATCAAATTAGAGATTTCTAAACTAGGCTTTGGTCTGAGGATAAGACAAGAAAGTTTTTGCAGATATTTTTTTTAAGAAAAATGGGGATTCCACTGGGAAGCTTAAGTTTAGAAACTAATATCCCAACCTGTATAAGATGTCTGTCAAACTGTCACTCACACTGAAAAGTACACTACCATTCCTTGTACACATGGCCACCAGCTACACTCTGCTGATTTTAAAGCAGGGAAAACTGATGTTGTAAATGCCCAGGGAAACTGCTAAAATGCATCTACAATGTATGTGTACTCTGCAGCTGGTGGAGATGCTCTCTTTGAGCACAATCAAAAACTTGAAGGCAGTAAACTTTTCACAGAGGCCATTTTAGAGCATAATTTACTCCAAATTATATTGATTATACTACTTGTAGTTATGTACCATACCAGACCAATGTACTGACTGATCAGCTTATACTTCTAGACATTTTTGTTGTAAATTCTTGTAGATTTGGGGAGAAAATAAACACACATGCTTGTAAATTGGATTTTCAGAATTCTTCCTGTATTTTTAAGCTTGAATCCTGTTGTAAAGAGATGAACTTGGGACTCTGCAGCATTGTGTGTGGGGGGCAGTTATTGAACCCTGGGGGCTTCGCTGTTTTTTTTTGCTCTCCTGCTGTCCCAGAGCAAAACCAGTTTCCTTTTCAGAAAGGAGAAGCCAATACTTACGAGAGTTACCAAATTTTGCAACCTACTGGGAAAAACTATTGGGCCAAGCCCAGCTTTAGCTTTATTCAACCTGCTGTGAGCTGAGGCACTGACACTGTACTACAAGCTGTCCATTGTGTCCAAAAGCACAACAATTGATAAAAGAAAACATCCAAGAGGAAGCTTCTGCAGGACAGACTAGCACAGGAATTGTGGCTTCAGCATCTTGCTGATCATTTGTTGGTGCAGGGAATTGCTCTCTGAAGCTCCATAGCACACACTGGTGCTGTACCATGGTGTAGATGTCAGGATTTGTCCACTTGGACTTTCTCTTCTCCCTGGGGTCCCTGTGTTAGCCAAAGGTGCCCCAGCACAGCTGTCACCAACAGCACGGACACACTGCAGTCTGCCAAAGCATTGCTGGGTCAAATGGACTGCTGCTTCCCAGAGGCAGCTTGCCATTGTTGTACTTGTCTACAGATCCAAGTTAGTTTGTTTATTTTCTTTAAAGAGTGTCATTCAGCTCTCCTAGAAAGGACAGAGAGAAAAGCCACATAAAAAATATCTATGCTGTTGTTAATGTAGTCCTTCCCAGGCCTCTGACCTGTCTCACCAGGAGAGTTTTCCAAGCTTTGTTCCAAAATAACAGATCTGTGTTTCCCTGAAGTACTGAACAATTTCCACCAGAGGTCTCTGTCTACTGATAATTCCAGTCTGGTAGGCTTGCTTGTGCATTGCAGAGTTCCCAAGTCAGTGTTAGGCTTTGTCTCTTCACAGGAATAAGAAACAAAACCAACATTTCCCAAATCTGAGTCCCTGGGAAATCATTATCTACTTTACAGGGCAGTAATACCCATCTGTTACGTACACAGAGATTTTCAAAAAAGGCTTCCTTATATAAGTTATTTAAATAAGTCTCTTGAGCACATGTAGCCTATCAAAACCAACGTTTCAATGAATTTAAGAATTAATAGCGCTTCATCAGAGTGCAGAAACTGTAAATATCACGCTTTTACATGCAAAACAGGTAAATTCATTTGAAGCAAGGAAAATAAACTTCTGTCTTCTCAGAGTGTACTGTGATCCCTAACTTGATATATAACTATGCTCAGGAGGAACTGCTCCAAGAGACATTTAGCTTTCAGGCTACAATATCTTTGTGTCTCATCTGGCTTTAATACAAGTGTACCATCTGCTTATGACAAAATTATTTATTTTCATGCCTACATACCCCTGTCTTTATTTTATTTACTAATCTACTTCACTCTATGGGATGCACTCAAAAAATGCAGGGTGCTAAAAAAAAGGATTAAACATTTCTGCCTTGAGGTCTGGTCTCTAATTGCTCTGTGCAGCACCTCAATTTACCAAGAAACATTAAGAAGTCTCAAAGAGAGGCTCTTTTGAAGCTCAAACAATATCATCAGGGTGGGGCAAGTTCCCTTCCCTCACCTGAGGAAAGAACCTTACTCGTCTCTGTGCCAAACCATTTGCTGGTGTTTTGTTTTGGCAGAGGATGGTGCGACATGAGAATCTTGCAGCAGAACCACCACAATTTGCCCAGCTCACAGTGGAACCACACCACCTGCTTGTGTGGCACATTCCAGTCAATGAGGTACAACAACAAAATGCTGCTAATGGCTGCTCACCCTGAAATAATCTCAAACACATCCTGGTGTAGTCTCTCAACTGAGATGTGAAAGGTGCACATTCCTTTCATCTCCAGCTGTCCGAAAACCACAGCTCCACATCTGAAATTGAAACAAGGCCAGTGACCAGTCCAGCACATCTGTGTCACCAGCAGCTTATCTAAAGAGAAGAGCAATGGACAAAAACCATGGAAGCATGTGCAAGGTCCTATCCAGCTCAGTGGGGTGACTCACAGCAGTAGTTTTTGAGGGGAATGCCTGAAGAATTACAAGCCAATTTCTTAGCAGCTCTTACCCATGTCATAAAACATACCATTACTATATGCTAATGCCATATACATACATACATGCTCTCAGCCCCTTCATTTCTGCAAAATATTACAAATTGGGGCATTGAAGAAGTACCGGAAGCTGCAAATACTGCACTGAGAAAAATACTGAAAACAAATTCAGCCTTAGAACACAACAAACAACAGTTGCAAGATGAGAAAAGGTATTAATGCTCTTTGCAACACCTGGCACAAGGCCTACAACTTACCTTAGCCGAGGAGCAAAATTTACTCCAACCTACAACAGAACTCCTACTGGAGTTAAGGTGGCATTATATGGAAGGATTGTAGGCTGAATTCCAAGAGCACTGTAATTCTTTGTTCAGCTTTGACTCACTCCCTTCTGTTCATGCACAGATAGCAGAAGGGGTATTTATTGGATGAACAGACTGATAATGTGCTCACTTACTCAGTGTCCCCTGCTATAACAATCCCTTTGGGATTAAGTGAAAGAGGAGGAACTGCTTGAGATTTAGGACAAGGAATTTTAACCAAACAGCAGAAAGTTCCACTGTGTCTCAGACTGAATATTTTAGTCAAATCAATGCCTGCACCTGTCTTCTGCTTGTAATTCACCACAAGACAGAAGTCCCTTGGTAATCTGGTAGAAATTCTTGCAGTCCTTTGAAAAAAAATCACTTGTAATTCAGTAGTTCTTTGATTTGCAAACTCTGGGTAGAATTTAATTCATGTTTCGTTCACTCTTTTCCAGCAATTACTCAAATTCCACCTAAAGCTGATCCTTGTTTTGTTCGTATTGTCTCTGATTTAAGATGTTATGTTCATTTTTTTGGGGAATGCACCATAATCTAACCTCTCCTTCTACCTTGCATTTAGCTGAAGAAATGTGTTGTGATTACAGCAATGGTGAGATGACAGGCAGACCTGGCTATCAGGGTTCCATTCCAGTTCTGATACTTTGCAGTTTGATTCTTTCCTCCTACACAGCTGTTGCAGCCCTGGATGACATTGAAAGTACAACTCCCTCCTCTTTCTGTTCTGCCAGAGCATGTTATAAGTGAAAAGCCCTGGAAGAAGCTACAAAGAGGGATGTCTGGGAACAACACAGATTTAATTTGAAGCCATAGATGTAAAGAATCACAAAAAAGTATATAAAAGTCACAACAGTATCAGAGATTCCATCTGAGGAGACTGCCCTTCCCTTCTCTAAAGCCAAGGACATCAATATCCTGCTTTAGGCCAACAATGACAAAGATTATTTCATTACAGCTCGAAAGCTCTGCAGCTTTGACCCATATGATGGACCAGAATAAAGAAATATCTCCACTAAAAGATGCTTTGGTCCTGTTTTGTGTCCAAAAGACTCTTACGTTCACTTCATGTGAAAGAAGCAGAGATGGACAAATCTTCTGTCCTTGTTTAGTCTCTAAATAAGAGTTAGGTCCCTCCTTTCCTACTGCTCTAAAATTTATGGCCTTTTAGTAGCCTACATCTACCTTCAAGAAAATAAAATAAGGCAAGAATAGAAGCAGAAGGTGAGGCATCATCTAACCAGTGAAAAGGGGTTGTATTTTTTTCTTTGTCTTTTTAGGAAAATTCTTTCATAGCAGAGAGGTTCACACCTATCTTACCATATATCTTTTCCCAACAGCTATCTTTTGCTTTACATCTGCTATAGCAAAACAAGTGTCCTTCTACTGAAAGAGATTGCTATTGGCCTGGGAAAAAAGACTTTCCCCCCCTAGATAATGATTTCTGTAGAAATACACACTTACTATGTGAGAGCAGAATCTGAGAATAACAGAAGTGCACAAATTATCCAAGAGCTTAATTTATAAACTTTGAATGTGCTCCGGCTTTTAACAAAGTACAACAAAACAAAAGAAAAAAGTTCAACAATAGCACAAACATTGCCAAACAATTTTGAGAAATGTCTCGCTGCTCTCATGTGAGCAATGAGATTAAAATTCTTTACTCTCAGTTTTTGAAACTACAGACATTAAGATCTCAGCAAATATCTCAATACTTTCAGTAGAAGAGAACTCATATTTATTCTACCTGTCAGATATTGGGCATAATGTTGCCATTATTTAACTGCTTAACAAAACTGAGGTCCATTAATTCAGTTACCTGTTGGTATGAAGTCAAGACTCTTGACTGATGAGACACTGTAATTATAACAGTCCCTGTCAATTCATGCATGATGATGTTGCACAGACAGTATTAATTTCTAAAAATTAAAAAATAATGTACTTTTGCTGTGTGCTGCTACTCAAAGATAGCACTCTAAAAGTGAGAGTCACTTTTTCAGGGCAAAAGGCCTGAGGAAATAGGAAGACCATGATTATTCACTTAATAATCTTTCCTAGTGTCACAGTCCACATGAGAAACATATTGCAACATGGTCCTTGAGTAAAGATGCAATACTGGGCTTGGTTTTCGCACTGTAAACAACAGATAAAAATGGAATACTAAAACACTTGGAATTACAATGCCTTATCTTTTGGGCTGGCTGCTTGATGGAATATGATGATGAATACCTGAGCTTTCTCAAATCACATTTATTGTAATGATGTGCTGGTGGCACCAATTTCTCTAAGCTTGTGTCTTTTTTCTCACTTAGCTTTAGATGCAGTGAGAATTCTCAGGACTAAAAGTAAAACCCCTTTTTCTTAATTTAATCAAATTATAGTTCTGAAGTTTTGCATTGGTGCAAAGAAGCCACCTAGCTGCTAAGAAGGGTACAGAACTTTGTACCAGGATCCTAGATTGGAAAAGGGGGATGAAAAAAATCATTGTATCATACAAAAAAAACCCTCAAAGTACACCCAACCCATCCATACTGTGGGTGCATTTTAAGGCCTGTAGTTTGTCCTGGGTGCATGCCCTTGTATGCATTAAGGCACTAGACCTTAAGGCACAACAAGGCTCTAAGTTGAAACTTGCACCAGGATGGACACAGGGTCACCCACCTGGATCCAAAAACTGTGACTATCCTGCAGGTCAAACACTGCTCCTATAAGGCTTACAACTGTCTTGAATATCCACTCACCCCTGGTGGCTTCTTCCATATGGTAACCCCCTCCTGCTAACGTGGCAGCATGCAATTATTCTAACAAAAACAGCAACAAAGCAGCATTTAAACTGTCTTTGTGACTCAGTCCTGGGCCTTCAGAGAGGTTGCAAGGCCAGAACTCTGGGGAGGGAGCATTCTCTTTGCAATGTATGCTTCACTTGAAAGCATTTTCTGTATGCAGAATTTAATATTTTTATCTTCATTTAAAATGCCCTGAGACTGTCCTTTGATGTTAAGTTAGGAAAAATGTATACTCTGCTGTTCACAGAATTTGTGCAATTTTGGGATTTTCTACTTACATCCATGTTAAAGCACAAGAGAAATACATCCATGAAAGAGCTGTGATTTAATATGAAGATATAAACTGTAAATACAAAACAAGAAATTTGAAACCAGAAATCTTTCCTTCTAGAAAAGCATCACTACTTCGTAAGGTCCTCTAAATTTCAGAAGCAGGGTGCCAAGTAGGGTGACATTGCTTGTCTGCTCTGCTAAACCATGTTCTGCAGAGAGTCCTGGGATAGAGCGTGCTCACTTCAGTTTGCAGGATTCTTTGTGGTATTTATATTAGTGCAAAATTTGTTGACATAATGTCATGATGGTGGTCTTCTGCCCCAATCCAACATCTAATTAATGTGATTAAAACCACAACTTCTCAAAGAAAATTTGGCATGCATTTCTAGAAGAATATGCAGACTTCTTGTGTTTGTAATACCTATCTGGATGCAAATGCATGTGTTTGATTTCCCTTGAGAGCTGTGTGAACAGTTATTATTTCTGACCTGGAAATTATTCTACTTTCCCTATTTGACTATTGTTTTTGTCTGGGTTAATGCATCCCTGAAACCAGATGTGCAACACTGGATATATTTCCATTACTGAACATGATCATGGGTATTTATTATCCTGATGTTTGAGGCAGTAACAGTTGGTTTGTGCTGCCCACTCCATGGTCTTGGTCTGGTACAATGACCACCAGGCCTCACAGGACAAAATGCAGGGTGCTGTAAGGAATCCATGTCAATGAGGCATTGCCTGGGATATTATTGCTATTAATCCCTTGAAACAAAAGGAAAGAAAATTTAGATTTTAGTTTTCTAAAGCATGCTTCTATTAGATTTTACACAGGCATCTACCGTGTGGCAGAATCAGCATCACCTCCTGCTGTTAGCAATGAAAAGGTTGCTCCGGCCAGTTCTAATTCCAGCCAGAAGAGTGCAGCAGGATATACCTGTGTTGAACATGTCCTCACAGGGCAGACCCAGAAAATGGCCAAAAAATGTTTAAATATCACCCACTTCCTCCAATAATAGCCTGAGATGTAAAATAAAATAAATGTCAGTTAACAACAAATTGATTTCTTTCAGTCACAGAAAAGTGCAGTAGAAAGAAGAGGATAATTGACCAAACAATGGCTACTGCTCCTTAACTCTAAACACAGTAATGTACATTGCTGTAAACAAAAGACTAGTAATGGAGGAAGTGTTTGTTTGTGAATACTGAAGATTTTTTAAGAATACATTAGACTAGGGGAATATAACATCATGCAAGAACTACATTTGCAATAATCCTCCACAGGGACACAAAAAGGGTTTTATGGAGCCAGATTCTTAGATGTTCTGCAATATCCCAGTGTACAGTCAAACCTTTGTGTTACTCTCACAATTTTCTCATGAGGTCAAAAACTACTAATCTGAGTGTGCAGCAAAATGCATCTGCAGATCTTTGCTTATTTTTAAACAGAAAGTTAAGAGTTATGACTGGAGTTTTCATGCCAACCAGCTCAGTTACCTGTAGACAGCCTTCCCCTCCTCTGCATGAAGAGCTCACACCAGACCCATCTTACATCTGCTCAAGGGCACTAGCAAGAGCTGAGTGTGTGTAATGCAGTGTTGGCAGCTCCATGTGAGAACAGGCACTGCTTTTTGGAGTTTTGTTTCCAGCTGAACTGCATGGTCTGAATAAGGGGGAAACCTCCATCCCTTTGTCATAAAAAAGATAAATATACAGAGATACAGGTCAGATACAGGTTACAAAGATACAAGTGAGAAACTGAAACTACTTTCCTAATATAGCCTTAAAGAGGTTTCTTCAGACAATCATAGCAGAATACAGGAAATCTAAGGTAGAGGAACATTCCCAAATGCAACAGGGGAGAGTGTAGGAACAGAGAAAACAGAAATTTTCCCATTAATTTCAACATGCAGGTATTTCTCCTTTTTAGCTTCATCTCCCACACACTGGCATCATCCACTCACTGGCAGTAGCTGTTCATGCCTGCATAGCTTCAAAATGTGTTCTTCTCCATTCAGTTCCTGCTGTTTTCTTCAACAAAGAAAGATGTTCTCCCTTTCTGCCACAAATAATATTCAAGAAGGAGCTCTTCAAAGATTCTCTCTCTGTGGATGGTCATAACCAAAAAAGTGCACAAATGCCACCCACAATAGTAACAGTGCTCCATGCACTCCTTCCCCCTTTGGAACCACCCTGTGGCTGCTCTACAAATTACAGTGCCCCAGTTTCATGTTTAGCTACTGCTCTTCTTCGTTCTTGTTTTGCAAGGTGAAATGGAGAAAAAGAAACACAGAGACTGGAGATTTTCATCAAACTCCACAGAAGTGAGTAAAACTTGGGTGCACCACCACCTCTCACCTCCCCTGGAAAGGATGGAGATGAAACAGCTGAAGGACAAGGATGGGCACAGCAGAAGCTCTAGCTACACTGCCCTTTGTAGTCAGAGAGTTGAGGGTCTTTTGTGCTAAAGCAGAGGGAAGCAGAGTGCTGGGAAAGCTAAGTAGATGGTTTCACTCAAAGGAGTTTTTCTGGATATGCTGAGGGAGGCAAAGGGGCTCACAATCTACAGGCCATTGCAAAAAGTGGAAACTCTGCACACAGCTCTTTCTGAAGAGAGAGAAGCCCCCATTTTTGTAGATATCATTACCAAACCTTGCATAACTTTGCACAGAATAGCTTTAGGCAAGTTGCTGGCTTGGAGCACACTCCCTCGGAGCTGCTCGCAGCCTGAGGAGCCTGCGTGTACCTCTCGCTTGCACATGGCCTCTCTGCTCAGGAATCCAACGTAAGGTTTATATCATCCCACACAGAGGTGCAGATGTTGGCTTCCCAGAGCAGCAATAACATGTCTCCTCTCCAGTAAGTTATGTTGTTTTCCTAGCGTCTCCTCTGAAGTCACTCTGGCTGCTCCTGGTTCTTCCACATCTCTATACTCCATACACTCACACATTCTGTTCTCTTT